ACATACACTATACACTACACACACACACACACACACACACATATATATATATATATATACAGAACAATGAGACATCANNAGCAGANNTAGACAGANNATCCACCAAGAAAGAACACAAACACCATTGCATTGCTATCAAATTGTAAACATATCAGAAACTAGAGAACAAACAAGGCACATACTTTGGAATTTGTGGTAATCCAGATGATGGTGATGTGGCTCGATCATTGGTGTTGGGTGGGGGTGGCAATGATCCGGGGTGAGTGTTCATTGGTGTGTCGTCTTCGGGTGGTGGAGGGCCTGGCAGACCAAACTCGTCTTGACGTGTCTGTGATTTGGCGTGCAAGATAGTGTATTTTAAATATACATACATATGTTTATATATATTATATATATATATATATATATATTTATATATATATACAAATGACTTCACCAATATAATAGTATGTATAGATTTGGCAATACATGTCTATGTTGAAATAGACACAAGTGTTGAGCAGATAAGAGTTGCGACGATACGTACATTTGCATATTTAGTTCGTATGTATATCCTTAATCTAGATGTTTTGAAAGATACCGGTTTAAAACTATGACTATATGTATTCAAAAATTGGATATATACGCAAATAACTACTTATTTCTTAGAACACGTCCCCCCTGCAACGATACAGAAGACTTACCTGTTTTGTGTTTATAGTTGGGGCGTCTACTTGCGTGTGCTTACCTGTTTTGTGTTTATAGTTGGGGCGTCTACTTGCATGTGCTTACCTGTTTTGTGTTTATAGTTGGGGCGTCTACTTGCGTGTGCTTACCTGTTTTGTGTTTATAGTTGGGGCGTCTACTTGCATGTGCATACCTGTTTTGTGTTTATACTTGGGGCGTCTACTTGCATGTGGTCCGGTTGTGTCAGGTCAATTGATTGCCCGTCTGCTGGTGGTCCAGTCGAGAGGGGAAGACCCGCCTTCAGAGCCTTCAGCATCTCCACCATTTTTGACTTGCAATACAGTCGCTTCTCATCAATCTGCGTGTTTGTGATCCGTGCGGTGACGATATTTGAGTTCGGTCCAAACGTTGAGAATCGATTTTATGGCATATGACTTCGGTATAAGTATGCGAGAAGCTAAAAAACCCCCCCCATAAACTGGGGTTTACACCTACCACAGGTGCGGGACGATACTTCTGTACCGGTTGTTTCAGAGAAAAAAACGTGCAGCACGCGAATACTTGGCAGAGAATGCGACATCAGATATTTGTCGTACGGATGCAAGCAAACAGTACAGCAAGGTATGTATAAACACAAACACTGAGATGTACAAAAGCTTGGTGCAATTTCCAGAATGGAGAAATGTATTTGAATTTGCAACTACAGACACATCGATGAGAGACGAGCGAGGATAGCGCAATCTGACTGGTGCTACCGTCCTTCAAATGACATAGGAAGCAAACTATAACAACTACTGTGTATGGCATCTAAGCTCCACCCATAGATGCCAACCTAGCGCGTCTTTGATTCTATTACCTATACAGACGTGGCATATCAAATTTACCACATTCACAGGCAAAGTATATCCAATTTACCACGTTTACAGGCAAAGCATATCCAATTTACCACGTTTACAGGCAAAGTATATCAAATTTACCACATTTACAGGCAAAGCATAACCAATTTACCACATTCAAAGGCAAAGCATATCCAATTTGCCACATTCACAGGCACAACATATCCAATGCATCAAATATGACTGGTGGGCATCGGATGTCAGGGGTGCATTCACAGCCAATACATACTTTTGTATAGAGTTGCTTACGAGAACACATTCAACACAGACGACCGAGTGGGTCTAAACCTACCGATTCACTGAGCGGACCAAAAGTCGCCATGGCCTCGAGCAGATTGCCTGCCACAAGGAACTTCTTAACCGTAGCTCTGCAAAGGTTTGGAATGAATGTTTACTAATTAGCCGTTCCGTCACCCAGTCCCACCTCCCAGGTCAGTGATGACCATTCCGTTCAAACGAATGTTGGAAGTAGGGTATGAGCACAGATAGGGACCCCTGACTGGAGATGATGAAATTGCTCATTTCTACGGACACATACGTGGGGGTATATATTGCATTGATTTATTTATAATTGCATCAATACATGATACTCAGCTCAAAAATGTAAAGAATGAAACTAAATGTAACGTATGAATATAAGTATTCCATTCAAGGATAAAAGACATACACACGTTTTTCACCTTGCTGTTTGCTTGTATATACGTTTGGATAGGTTTGCAAAACCAAAACCAAAGAAGTCAAGAGTGTGCACAAACACATATCTCAACAAGAACCGCACATACAGTTTCACACATACACGATGATTCGCCTATAACCATTCAATGAGACATTTCTACAGCATACGCAAGTAAACATATCGTTCATGTCTGACGAAGTTTTAAGCCAAAAACTCAGGCACACATAGGTATATAAGAACGTTATACGCGTATGTCCCTCCATTGATACATATATATGAGCACATTGGTATATAAGAACTTTATACGCTTATGTTTCTGCATTGATAAATATATATGGAAGCAAAAATCTGCACAAAATACAAGTACATACCCATTGGTATGTAATACATATATTTATCTATAATTTGTTTCATATAGCTATTGATGCATACACAGATAGTCTCCGCCCAAATATAGCATGGATATTCACAGTTCAGAAGAGGCATACTACTTAACGCTCCCTTGAAGTGTACAAAATAGTATGCCGTGAGGGGATATACACTATACTATCAGTTCGAGGATAAGCGTCTTCACACGGAAGAAGACATCGCGTTATGCTCGTCCGTGCATGCACCCATATGTGACTGTGTACTACGCCGCATCTTCAACCTGGTCAACGAAGAACCATGACAGTGATAAATATACGAGTTGTCTTGCACAGACATACTTTGTGGATAGTCCGCTGCGATCTTCCACATCGGCTTCGTCGAATAAGTTTAACGTAATCCTTTCGAAATGGGCTTTACCAACGTCCTGATCTGAGATTTCTTTGATGCCTTTCAGATTACTCTTTTCCTGCAAACGCATGGTGTGATGCAGAAGATACTCCCGTGCTTAGTGACCCCATTTCACACACAACAACGTCATTTGACAATGATATGGACCCAAACCAGCGCGTAGAAGTGGATTGCAAGCAGAATGCCGAAAGCATGTAGCTCACTAGCCATACATCCAAGTCGATACCCTGTTTACTGATTTGGGTTTCCTGTAATCTAGATAGCACGATTGTCAATAGAAACCGATAAATCAGTACTACAACCGATACCTACAAGTCTGCTTACTATGTTTCAGCACTCGACAACTCGCACGATCGCTATATACAGACATGTGGATATAAGCAAATTGTGCTATTCTTATAGTAACCGTTCCACAACACTCCACAGACGTGCACAACTGTCCCTGACTCGCGAGGTATGCATTGCCATTCAAGTTCTCATAAGTCGCAAAGCAAGAAAACACTCTAGCCACATTCAAGCCGGCAAGAAGTGACACACGTACGCCCCGGTAAAAAGGAAGTATTTTAAGGTCTTTCACCCGTGGGTCTTGCTAGACGATATAGCTTGACAACATGTATAATAGAACAAGCATCGCATCGCGAGTGTGTGTGGTGCCTCAGTATGTAATGGCGGACGCAGGATACTCAAACAGGCGCACACATCGCCGGCTAGCTTACAGCAGCACAGCATGCCGGGACTGTATTATGGAATGTGACAAATAAAGTACACCCTATCTACCAAACATGTACACCATCTGTTGGGTGATCCTATGCAGGCCATCTGTTGGGTGATCCTATGCACGCTATCTGTTGGGTGATCTTATGCAGGCCATCTGTTGGGTGATCCTATGCAGGCCATCTGTTGGGTGATCCTATGCACGCTATCTGTTGGGTGATCCTACGCACGCTATCTGTTGGGTGATCCTATGCACGCCATCTGTTGGGTGATCCTATGAACGCAGGTATGATACACAATACGGCAGAAACTAGACCAAGACACATACCCCCTATTCTCTATTTCAGCCGAAGGTCGTCTGATAGCTAACAAGGGCCTTGGCTGTGACAGAGCGACTCACACTCTCGCCTCATTTCAGAGTATACTATTCAATTCAATACAATCCATGAACACTCGCCTCGAGTACTAGAACGCAATACGCGCAGCGAGAGACAGATGACACCACACCCAAAAATAGCACGCGACATGGGGCACAGTACAGGTGAACACATCACAGGATACATCCAATGCCAAAGACACGGCAGAGAATATAAGACACTAACAATGTTCAGTAGGAAATGGCATACGCGCAATACACGGATGCATACGCATGTAGTGCTGAAAAGTATAGTGCTTTTGTAGTGACTAATGATATGAAGTGGGAGAAAGTATATTGCACCACAGCACCCACCGTTTCCAAAAGTATAGTGCTTTTTTACTGACTAATGATATGAAGTTGGAGAAAGCATATTGCACCACAGCACCCACCGTTTCCAGCTTAAAAGTATAGTGCTTTTGTAGTGACTAATGATATGAAGTGGGAGAAAGCATATTGCACCACAGCCCCCACCATTTCCAGCTTAAAAGTATAGTGCTTTTTTACTGACTAATGATATGAAGTGAGAGAAAGCATATTGCACCACAGTACCCACCGTTTCCAGCTT